TATAAAGTATTAACAAATAAATATTGTAAAGTTGAAAATTTGGTGACAAATCAAATTGGTTAATTTTCGGATTATTTTTTTGAACAATTTTAGCAGAATACAGAACCTATTAAATATAATTAATAAAAAATTAAAATACATTAAAATAACAAGTAAAAAGGCATTTAAAAAAAAAAAAACCATTTTAGTGTATTTGAAAAAGAAATTAATCAGTTGTGACTAAAAAGTGAGTGTTAATAAAAGGCTTATTACTTTTTAAACTGATCAACACTGAAATTGGGAAATTAAATAATTTGCATAGCCAAATTGAGTAGTGTTGAATTGAATTGAATATGGTATACAGCATGAAAGATAGCTGGTGGCTACAAAGTGGGAATTATTTTAGTTGGTGAGTGAGATAGTCCTTATGCAAGCTTAAGCATGAAAGTGAGTTTTTGCCACTTCCACTTTAAAACCATTTGTCCTCTAGTTGGAAAAAAAAGTGGAATTTATCGCCAAGGACAAAAATGAGGTTTGCTTCAATAGCCAAAGGATGCATAATTCAAGAGGAATGGTTTTTTCTTTTTATTTAATTAAAATATATAATGGAAATGTTTGTACATTCTATATCTAATTATAAATAATTGTATATAATAAATCTGTTGATCTTTTAAACACTTTATAATATAAATCTAACATAAATTTTAATTGGTTGATAGTATAAAAACATGCATGAAAAACGATTTTTTATGATATTAGTATATTTAAATTAACTAATTACAGGATTTTTAAAATTTAGGATTTTTTTTATAATATTAGTAGTTTTTTTTGTGTGTATTCACATATTTTTTCCCTTTTATTTGAAACTTATGTATTTAATATATTATATTTCTCTCAACTTTAACTCAAATTTAATATGTGATATAATAGTTTAACATAATGATTAAACACTATATTTACTTTGTTTAATTTTTGTTATGTATAGAAATTAATTAAATTAGTGACAATCATAGGATTACAAGAGAAAATAATTTTCTAATCCAATAAATTAAAAAATACTCATGATAGAGAGAGAGAGAGAAAATAAAAAACTCAACTTGTGTTCAAATTGATGCTACCCCTATTTTGATTTGGGGGTACTAGAGGGTGATAACTGAGAACTAAGAAGAAAGAAGAAGGAACAAGTGGGGTGTTTCATTGGTTGTTGTGTTTCCCACCAAGTTCACTTTTTTTCTGGGACCTTGAAATCCTTCTACCCCTCTACTCAAGTGGGTCATCCTTTGTGGCCCCTACTACTTCTTCAGCACTCCCCACGCTCCTTCTATTTTTGTGCTCAGCTTTGAAAGATCCTTCTTTCTCAATCTTGGATGCTCAGTGATTCTCGTTTTTACCTCTTTCTGCTTCCTAAAGGTGATGATGATGATGTGTGAAGTGGTGTAGTACAGAACATCTGAAGTTGAGGCTGCACATGTTTGTTTCTGTTGGTTGGTGTATTTCTGTGTTGTCTCTCAACAGAGTCCATCTGTTCTTGTCTGGGCTAAAGGAAACTGCTCCATTTCAATCCAGGGCATCTGGATCGCCTGGATTGGGCAAAGATTGAAAAAGGGTATTATTGCTCGATTCAAACTTGATTGGTTTGGTATTTATTTGTGTTTTATGAGCTTTTGCCAAACAAACCAAAAAAAGAAGGTTTTTTTTTAATGGATTTTTAGCTATGAGAGAGTGATTTGGATTTGGATTTGATGCTTGGTCCAAGATCACTATGGAGGTGTTTCCACTTCTCTAGCATTCAGTACTGTTGCTCAGTGGTCAGATATGAAGAACATTCTTAAGAAGCTTGGCTTCATGTCTAACCGATCAGAGAATGAACAAGGGTCTTCTTCATCCAAGGGCAACAAGTCAAATCTTGGCTCATCTTCATCTTCCAAGAAGGTTTTGCGTTCAAAGTCCCCTCAGAGTTCTGAGCACAAGCCCTTTTCTGGGCTCTCAAGTTGGTTGAATTCAGTTGCCAATAGGCAGAGTGCTAGTCCTCCTCCATCTTTGAGTCAGGCAAGGGGAGAGAGAATGGAGCCATCTGATGCAGTGAGCAGTGGTGGTTTGGATGTTGTGTCAGATTCAGCTAGGCTTGATTCAGGGTCTACTGCTTCCAGGGATCCTGAAGTGGAGGAAGAGTATCAGATTCAGCTGGCTTTAGAACTGAGTGCAAAGGAGGATCCTGAGGCTATGCAGATTGGAGCTGTTAAGCAGATCAGTATGGGACCTTGTGACCCTGCTTATACACCAGCTGAAGTTGTGGCCTACCGTTATTGGGTAAGTCACTTTATTCACATTCTTCTTGTTATCACGTTAGTGCTGATACAAACTAAGTATCACATCATTGGGAAAGGATGAGAAACATAGATTTATAAAACACACAAAGTTTCATTTAGTACAAAGGTTGAATACCAAACTGTACAATACCATACTGATGTGCAGATGTGTGTGAATACCTGATACACAACAAGATATAATACTCCTCTTGAAAAAAAAAATTCTCCCAATAAACAAATACAACCCATCAGAAAAGATATTGGATGTCATGAGTTTGATAATCAGGTCATTCTTAGAGGCTTCTAGCATTATGTAAAGAAATTTCAGATGTGTAGACTGGCTTCATTCTTCATTGGTTTTGTTTGGAGCATGGATTTTAGGTATGGTATAGATCGTAGCCTGAAGATGAAGAGAAAAGAAAAATGGAAAGAAGGATGTGGGCTTGTATTTATATCACGTGTGATATACATTTATTCATGGTTTTATCCTTTGACCTTTCTTACCCGTGTGGAATGACGGATGGCAAGTATGATAGTTGGTAGAATTTGGACGTTGCTAAATATATTATTAGCTCTCTGAACTATGCTTTTGGGTTGGAAATTCCAATATCATTCAGCACTCAGATGTATGTATTGAGAAGTAACGTTGAAGTCAAGGCAAGATGCATTGCATCCTTGCATTTTGGACTAATCTGACATACATCCTTGATATAAACGGTGGTTTAAAATATAACAAATTGATTGGCCTCTTGATATGAAGATAAGAGAAATTCTCCTTTGGGCTTTATAGTTAAGGTTATGTTTAAAAACTGAGATCAAAATATGGCTCTTTATTTGAATGGATGTTTAAGGTCTTTAGCCCTTAAATGTTCTTTTACTTAAAATGAGAAATTAATTCTTTTAAGATTCTGAAATCATTTTGATAAAATGATGGGATATATTGTTATAAATGTAATATAACCATTTATGGTCTTCATCTAACAGCATAAACTTTCAGGATAATTGATTCATGATATGGTAATGGTACCAAAGCTTATATATGTCTAGTTTGATTTGCCGCCCCCATAAGATGAAATTCAGCTCAAAGTAGGTGGGCTTTGTGCATTATCAAATTATCAATGCATCAAGCCCAGAGGTTTCGTGCGTGAGGGGGCACAATAGATATGTAATAAACCATTTATGTATCTTCTTCTAACTTAAGCTTTTGGGATAATTGGTTCATAATCAGAAAAAAATAATTTTTATTTGAATTAGGCAGAAGGTTTTTTTCTAAAGAGATTTGTTTGCTGTTGGGGATTTCCTGGTTGTCACTTATTTCCCTTTATGTATAACATATAAGTTCTTATCTTCAAAAGGTCTCCTATTTTTCTCGTTTAGTGGTCTAATCTTTAAATCATTTGGTCATATGAAATGTAATGTTGCTACCTCGTATACTTTGCTGGGCTGGTTTCCTTAGAGCATATGCATTTGGAATTATTATTAAAGTGTTACTGTAACCTTGTTATGATATCTTTGGTTGTAGATTCGTAGTCATGGTTTTCCCTTTACAGAGATAATCCTGGGTCTCTTTTGCTCTTGCTTTTCTATGTTTGGCTTAAATGCAGTTTTTGCTTGGTTCTATACATAGAGGGTTTAGGATTTAGCATTAACTTAGATTATGGTTTGGATTGTTTTAGATGATGCATGCATTAAATGGTTTTGATATAAGATGAACTAATTCCTGTATGTCATTTGGTTACTTGATCCCATTTTGTCCTACATATATTCCTTTCTAACTTATCTCATATCGTAGAGTTATCCGTGCTTCACAGAATTACAATGCTCTTGGTTATGATGACAAGACCTTGGATGGCTTCTATGATCTGTACGGGAACTTAACTGTGTCAACCCCTGCAACAATGCCTTCCCTTGTAGATCTGCAACTGCAAGGAACATCAATATCGGGTAGTGGCAGATGGGAAGCTGTCTTGGTCAATAGGGTTGCTGATTCTAATTTGTTGAAACTTGTGCAAAAGGCTCAGGACTTGACTGGAAAATCAAGCCCCGATTTTGAAGTAGTTATAGATAGCAATGTGGTGCACAAGCTTGCAATATTTGTTGCTGATTATATGGGAGGACCTGTTGGAGATCCTGAAAGCATGACAAGAGCATGGAGGAGTCTTAGTTACAGTCTGAAAGCAACCGTTGGTAGCATGATTTTGCCACTTGGTTCTTTAACTATTGGATTGGCTCGGCATCGTGCATTGTTATTTAAGGTATTTATGCCACCATTTTTGTTTGTGGTTTGAATTTCAATGAAGAATGATTCCACATATTAGTTGATAGAAGGCTCTGATGAAAAATTGTTGTTAGGTTTACACCAAAAAAAAAAACTGTTAGAATATATCAAGATTCAAGAGAAAGATCAATTCCGGGTGAACTACTACAAGCTCTGATATTTTTGTTGTATTTTCTTAATTCTCACTGCAAAAGTTTACTATGCATTTAAGATATAGCAACTAAAGCCTTTTTCTGTTGGGTGGGGTTGTGTACATGGATCCAGCACACCATTGTATAGTAGTAACATTGAATTTTTATGTTTGTCAGCCTTTTCAATTCTGATTCCAAGAAGTACAAGTTTGCAATAAAGATTATTGATTTATAATAAATGTAGGTTTTAGCTGATAGTTTGGGCATCCCATGTCGGTTGGTGAAGGGGCTGCAATATACAGGTTCCAATGACGTGGCCATTAACTTTGTCAAGATTGATGATGGAAGGTAACTTCCATTAAAGTGTTTTTTTTTTGTTTTTTATTTATTTATGATATTGTCAAGTAGGAAGAATTTCTTTGTTTATAATTCTTTGTGCATTGGCATTGAGATATTAATTGTTTTACTTGTTCCCTGTCATCAATTTTGTATTGGGTAGAGTACACACGAAATGGTGTTTGTCAATTCTTCATTTGTGTCATATTGTCCCAAGTTAGAAGCTGTATTTCAATGTGTCTTTGTTATTGGTTTGCCTTTGCTGTTGTAGCTTTTTGTTAAATTTTCAATTAGTTTTTTAAAAGTGCTAGTAGTTATACATTATCCCTTTCTTTTTGTATCTTCAAAGTAAGAGTTGCAAGCTAGTTTAGTATCTATAAGATGTGCATGATTTGAATTTCAGGGAGTACATTGTTGACCTAATGGCAAATCCTGGAACTCTTATTCCATCTTATGCAACTGGATCACATATAGAGTATGACGAATCTTCATACGTGGCCAGTCCTTCATCAAGAGACCTTGATTCCTCTCATGTAGCATCATCCAGCAGTGGTGTTGGAAGTTCATATGAAGAAACTTCAGATTTGGGGACATTGGACAAAGGAAACAGATCAAAACAATTTTACGATACAGGAAAAGAATCTGATGTAAGCAGACAGTCTACTGGAAAGGAAGAATCAATGAGACCCTTGAATGAGTTCAAAAGTCCTCACAATGTTCAGAAGATTGCAGGGCAGGAAGCTCCTGGAAGACCTAATCATCCACATGTACATGCAAGATCTCCTTCTTGGACTAAAGGGATCAGTTCTCCTGCAGTACGCAGGATGAAAGTTAAAGACGTTTCTCTATACATGATTGATGCTGCCAAGGAGAACCCTCACTTAGCCCAGAAACTTCATGATGTTTTACTTGAAAGTGGTGTGGTTGCTCCTCCAAATCTATTTTCTGAAATTTATGACGAAGATTTAGGTTCCTCAAGCGAAGAAAAAGATGAACAAAAACAAGGAAATGAACAGCAAGAGGCCGAGGTTGATGGTAATCCTAGTCCTCAAATTTTGCCTCCTTTGTCTCACCAGAGTGTTCATCCCAAAGCAAGTACTAGCAGTCAGCTGGAGCATTCTAAACCTGTTGAAGGTTTAGGAATCAACCTTCCTCTTCATACAAGGGAACCAGCCGGACAGCATTTACCAACTCAGGTAAAATATGGGCAAAATGTCCCAGTTGCTGCTGCCGCTGCCGCTGCTGCTGTTGTTGCTGTTGTTGATATGAGTTGTATATTTGTTGTTGTGTTGTTAAGCTGTGATTGTGTTGTATGTTGACCTTGTTGAGGATGATGATAGTGTTGTTATGTTGTAAGTTACTTTTAAACATGTGTTGTTGAGAGATGTGTAATACATGTATTAGTTGTTGTTATGATGAATATGGTAACTATTCCAATGGTTTGTACAGTAGTTGCGTTGAAGTGTTGATATGTGGAACCAAGTTGAAATGACGTTAAGATGTATAGTGTATGTTGTTTGTCTCATGTGTCGAATGCGAAGATGATTATATAGTTGTTATGTTGCATATTAAATTATTATGAGTTATTTATTGTCTCTAACTTACCCTTGCATGTTTCCATGTAGTTTAGACTGCGATGATCATACGTTGTATGAGAGCATGGCAGGAATAGACTGGAAATAGCTGCTAGAGGCCACAGGAAGTGCCTAGAGATGGATTTTTTTTATAGGCTACCTTATAGTAGCATATTTTGTTGTATATAATTGGTTGCTGTTGGTTGCTTTACAACACATTTTAACAACACAACATCTCATTTCAACTTTAAACAACACAATCAACTCAACAGCTTATTAGCTCAACCCATAATTTACAACTCAATCATCATAAAATAATATTTTTTTAACACATGACACAACATACAACTTTATAGCAACATACAACTTTTCTCTAACAACTTGACAACACAGTCTACTAATAACATCTCATCATATTTCACAACATAAACATGTCCACACATAACATATAGCAACGTTATCAACTTAATTTCAACTAGCTTCAACAATATCATAGATCAACACACAACTTGTAAACAACTTCACAACTTAACTACAACATGCATCTCATTTACATCTCATTTTCATCATGAAAGCATCACCAACAACATCATTAATAAATATTTAATCATATATTAGCAACACACAACATTTTCATCTTGTAACACAACTCATATACAACCAACAAATTTACAATCTAGCTTCCCTTACCTAAAGATTGGCTCTAAAAGCCAAGAATCTGAAAGGAAGAAGAAGAAGAAGAAATATCCTCCAAAACTTGACTCTTGAACTTCAACTCTCCAAAAATAGCTTTCTAGTCTAGAGTTCTTCTCTCTAGAACTTCTCTTTAAAACCTCTATTTTCCTCAACTGTCCACAACCTCTATTTATAGAAGTCTGAACTGGTCAGAACGACCCGTTCCAAATCTGAAATATCACGTTCTAGGCTCCTTCATCATGTGTAAAATTCACATTCAGAACGGCCCGTTCTGAAACCATAACAGCTCGTTCTGGCACGTCTAAAACGACCCGTTCTAAAATCGGAACGGCCCGTTCTGGAGTGGGATTTAACTCACAATGACCATTTTGGAACGGCTCGTTCCAGTCCAAGATTCGTAGGCCTATTTAGTAGTTTGGAACGGCCCGTTCCAGAACGGCCCGTTCCAGAACGGCCCGTTCTAGGCTACTAAATTACCCTTGTTTTAGTAATTTGGAACGACCCGTTCCAATCTGGGAACGCTCCGTTCCAGTCTACTAACTACGTTACATAACTTATTCATATGATATAAGCATATTTTTATGTCTAATATTTTTTTAAAAAATATATATTGTAATAAAGTATATACCTATTTTTTATAAATAAAAAAAATAGACTAATCTAACCTTTGTCTAGTGTAGAATAGGTCATAAGCTTTTGTCAAGTAATGTGACTTATCTTAATTTAAATAATTGGTTACACAACATCATAGAAAGGTAAACTTATTAAAGTAGTTATCAAATTATAACTACTTTTTTTAAATTATTAGATAATATAATAAAGAAAATTTAGATAAGTTCGGTAGGTGTGATTTGTGTTGTTATTCGATTAAAATTTAAGTTTTATTCTAAATACTTTATGTAATAAAATATTTCATAATATTAAAAGAGATATATGAATTTTCAAAGTAAAACTCTAATACTAATTAGAAATAATATGAAAAAAAAAGTATTGTTAACAAAAACAAGTGATTGAGTAATAACAACCGTGATGATAAGTTGTTGATCACTAGGACTAGAGGAGATGTTTTCGAAGTTGCTCATCCCATTGTGCGGATTGAGATAGTTGTGGTGCTCTGAGATCCCAATTTGTTGAAAACCCTCCTTGGAAAGTTGTCCCTTGGAGTGGACGTTGTGTTGTTCTCCTCTAGGACTTAGTTGATCCCGTGTGTGGGCAAGGTCGAGGCACACGTGTACAAAGCGACCACGGCATAGGGGCAAGGTCAAGCTATACCAATAACAAAGCGACCATGGTATAGGGGCAAGGTCGAGCTATACCGATTACAAAGCGACCACGGTATAGGGACAAGGATGACTCTTGGTTGTCATTATCATCATCTTTCATCAAGAAAAATATGGAGCTTATTATTTATTATCATCATCTTTCATCAAGAAAGATATGGATCATGTTTACTTGCTAAATCATCTGCAGTTTCAGGGAATTTAAACAAATTGGGTTTTGTTTTTCATGTGAAATATTGTTCTTTGGCTTGATCCCCCATCTCATACTTATGTCCACATTGGCTTTGCCACTTTCCATTTTTCATGGTTTATGATGCTAATAAGTTGTGATCCATTACCTAGGTGTGATGTTTATAGCTTTGGAGTCATATTATGGGAGCTCTCTACTTTGCGGCAACCATGGGGAGGAATGAATCCGATGCAAGTTGTTGGTGCGGTGGGCTTCCAGCATCGCCGTCTGGACATTCCAGATAACATGGACCCTGCCATTGCTGATATTATCAGGAAATGCTGGCAAACGTGAGTATACCTTTTTCATTATTTTATTCTTGCATTTATAAAATGTCTGTTAAATATGTTCATTTTGGTGCATTTTTTTTTCATGACAGCATTTGCAATGTATTTTGGATAGCCGAAAGGCCTTTGTTTGAAATAAAATAGTCTGATCCTCCTAGTAGGAAAATTTGTTAATGATAGTATACTATGAACTAGAGCGTGGTTCTTAATAACTTATTGACAAGGGACTGCAACCAGCTGGTGTAGGAATCATTAAAGTTGGCTATTTTGCATTATCATGGGTAATTTGTCTTACTTTGAAATCACAAAGTACTGAAAAATGGGGAGAAAAAGACAAACATGAGCATTATCCTTGGTTGCCTAAAAATTAGGTCAAATTGTAGTACGTCTGTAGAAGTGTGAGCTATTAATATTCACATTAATGAGCTTTTATTATTTGAAAAAGAAAAAAACAAGCAAGAGTGGAGCAACAATTTATGTTAATTCCATAATTGTGTCCCTCCTTAAATGCATCATCATCATCATTCTTCTTAAACCTTAATTGCATACTTAAAACTAGCACTCTAATATGACTAGTCTGTCAATTTCCCTTGTCTCATCCAACAATTATAATAGAACTACCTGAATGTCACTATGTTAGATTATTTAATTGAACATTCTACTGGTGCCAAACACAAATTATATTTCTCATCACACTTTTTGGCCCTATATGTACTATTGAGAGGTTCATCACTGTATAAGGTTATGGTAAAACAGTAGAAGGCACGATATGATTCAAATGTTTCTGTTCAAGTACTTATAGAACACAACCAAGTGATTTTGCAAAGGATGTTATTGTGAAAATTTTTCTTTTTGCATAACTAGGCGTTTGTCTTTTGTATTATAGAGATCCAAAGTTGAGACCTACATTTGCTGAAATATTGGCGGCTCTAAAGCCGTTACAGAAGTCGGTTATCGGAGCTCAGGTGCCTCGGCCAAGCGCTTCAGGGAAGCATGAGAAGGCTCAGTCATCACGTGCTGTAGAAGACTCAGCAATATAGGAAACAATTATACAACTAACCAAATCTTTGTTCATTTTGCTGCTGAAAGGTGGAGAACAAGTTGTCAAGTTGTATAGTATTTTTGGAATGAAAAAAGTGAGTGGTTGAAGCCATCACCTAACTTATATTCTCATCCAAGTTGTGATTCTTTCCACTCTTGTTCCTTTCCTTTGTTTTCTCTTTTGCTGTTGGTTTTCCTTTTGCAATCTGAAGTGCAGTCATTGTCAGGTTGTACCATTTGTTTGTACACAATTCTTTTGTAATTGTTGTAATCAATTCTAAATTTTGATGTCCATAAATAGTTATAAAATTTTGCAGCTGTAACTTGAACGGTTGAAGTAAGATGGACAATGAATGAAAAATGTTTGTTGCTGTAAAATACTGACCATTTAAATGGTGCAATAACCTCAAATTTTTTTGTGCTTAGTTAGATTGTTCCAACATATTGTCAAGAGATATCTTATAATAAACAACATTTGAAATTTTGGTCTTTTAATCGAGTCAAATGACATCGTGCATTTCATGTAACCGACTTTAACACAGTAAAGATTTTGATGTTGGACTGTGCCAGCAGTTCTCCCTCACACTGTTTGGCTAATATGTGAACATAGTTTGAATATATTTTTAATATTTTAAATTTAAGATAAATTTATTTTTTAATTCTTAAAATTTAAAATTATTTTTAATTTTTGTAATTTTAAAAAAATTTATTTTAGTCTCTTAAGTTATTAATAATATATTTGAAAATAATAAATTAAAATAATTATTATCATCAATTGAATTTAATGTGATATTTTTATTAATAAGGATGCAAATTACCAGATTTTTTATAACAGTATTTGATGAATTTTTTAACAAAATTAATGTATAAGACTGAAATAAGATTTTTGAAATTACAAGGACTAAAAATATTAATTTTAATTTAAAAAATTAAAAATAAATTTATTTTAAATTTAAGAGATTAAAATTATATTTAAACATACAAAATTAGTATTAATCATCTAGGGACAATAAATTCCAAAAATTAGTATAACTTTTCAATAATATTGATATTTCATGTCATGAAAATTGACACTTATTTTATTATAATCTCAATATAAGTGGAATGTATTCAAAATTTTATATCAGCTAACGATATGATTATAATAGTATATATAAATGAAGAATGTCTTTTTATTTTACAAGATAATTTTGTAAAGTTGATTTATGTCTATAATTTATCATTTTTAGATAGAATTAAAGTTTATCATAGTAATTATTGGTATAAATAATGTATTGGAGATCTCAAATCAAATTTTAATATTGGAGATGATCTTATTAAAAAAAATAAAAAAATAAAAAAAGAAAGACGATGTAATTCTCTGCATAGGATTATAAATAAAAAAGAGGGATTTATCCAAAACAATTCACAATATCTCCATTTAAGCACATTCAAGGACCCAAAGCTTCAAACACAAAAAAAAAATGGAAGAGAGAGAAGATGAAGTATTCAGTTGACGACCTCGTAAGAATGATAAGCTTAAAGTCAAATTTGCCACAAAGAATTCGAATGATTTTTTTACATTATAATATATAAATTTGTAAAATTAAATAAAAATAATAAATAAACTTATCGTGTTAATTTTTTTAACATTTTTTCATACAAATATAAAAATATGTACTTAAAGAATCAAAAGTTCAATTATCAAATGCAATAATAATATATAATATATTTTTATATATAATCTAAATAACCCAAATGATTTCATTAGTAATTTTGGTACTAAAATCCTACTTCCAATATTTTTACCATTTCTTAAAAAATTTAATTTTTACTTTGGAGATAAAACGTGTGAAGTTTTGATTTTGAAAGAGACAAAAGGTACAATCATATAAGTTTAGGGTTATAATGTATGAGAAAAAAATTTAAATAATGATTTGTGAAATTTTAAAAATTAGGGTTCAAAATTACAATTAAATCTTTTTAATTTTAGAGAACAATTTGACCAATCATTAAAATTTTAATGATTAAATTGAATGATATTTTATAATTTTATGAATACAATTATTATTTTATATACTTTAGAGACCAATTTGTCCATCCATTACAATTTAGAGACTAAATTGATTAATAATGTATAATTTCAAGTACCATTTTCTCCTTTTATTAATTTTTCGAGAACTAATTTAACTAATTATTTTAATTTTAGGGACTAAATTAGTTATTTATTTAATAAAGATCTCTATTAATTTTAGAAAATGGAAAAATAATATAATTCCATCATTTATGAAAAATTACAACTATATCATGAGCGGAAGTTATAATTACACCGGTGTAATTTTTACTAAGTATTACACCGTTCAATAACTTTATATTAAATACGAATTTTATAAATCCAACTGTTAGATTGAAAGTTCATATCTCTTAGATCATATATACAAAATTTTATATTAATCCAAGATGATTTGATATTTCATTTTTATAAAACAAAGTTGATGTAATATATTCATTTCAAAATACAATAAAATATGAGTACTTTGATTACCTTCAAGTTGTTGTTCAATTTTAACAAAATTTAATATACACGTATAAAGTGATATGAACTTTCAATCTAACGGTTGGGTTTACAAAATTCACAATTAATATAAAGTTATTGAACGGTATAATACTTAGTAAAAGTTACATCGGTGTAATTATAACCCTTCTTATATCATATGTCAAAGAAAAAAACCCCAAAAATAAGAAGAAGAAAAAAAGCCCAAGTAAAGAGAGGAAATGAAAGAGAAGCAGTGAAATAGGAAGAATCAAGAACTTAGTTGATGAAATATACTTGCAAAATAGCAAAAATTGATGATGCAAGCTATAGTGATGAACAACAATTAGGTTGTTTAGTAGCAGTGACTTCATCAGCTATATGGATCTCCTTCCCATTAGGAAGACTCAATGCTGTACCATTCATTTTGGTTTCCAAACTTTTGTGGCTTATAATGTCATGGATCTTAGTGATCATTTCTAAGAATGCTTCCTCAACATTCAGATTCTGCAGAGCAGAGGTTTCCATGAAACATAACCCTTCTCTTTCTGCAAACCCTTTTCCTTCTTCTCTCTCAACTTCCCTTGATTGCCCCAAATCAGATTTGTTTCCCACCAGAACAACCACCATGTCTTCTCCTCCAAACTCTCTTAACTCATGTAACCATTTGCTCACATTCACAAAAGTTGCTAGCTTGGTTATGTCATACACTAGCATTGCCCCCAAGGCTCCTCTGTAGTATGAGCTTGTGATAGCCCTAAACCTGCCATGAAATTGTTCATTGTGTTTTAGGATGAAATTCAAGATCAAGATACATTACTATGTATGTAAATTCACTCTCAAAATCCTTAAAACAAAACAAAAATCTTTGAGATTCTGTTACTATTTACTAGTGCTTTTTTGGACTCCAAATTTAGCAATGGCCACAGTTGATACATAACCGACCAATATTGTAAAATCAATATTTATATAGCTTAAAAATACACTCCTTTCAAACATTATCCATTTGAAAAGTAAAAATAGATGATAGAATGTTGTGATTACTATTGATGACTTATTTAGTTAGTTATTATAAAAGTCATTGAAAAAATTATCACACATGAAAGTTTGTAATTTGATGAATTGATAGTCCATTTTCTCTTTTTTATAAACACTGTACATTAATTGAAACAAAACATTGACTAACATAAATATTTTATATTTTATTCTAATAACGAAAAAATATTGTAAAGTATTTGTTTTGGATCTTTACACTAGGAAGAGAACAAGATTATGGTGGTGAATGATGGATTTGGGTGTAGGTGAGTGACTGGGTGGTGTGGTAGGAGAATTAGAAACAAAATATTGATGATGGGGTTGGTGACCAAAACCTTCACCGTCTCACATGCATTTGATTGTCAATTTGTCACTTTAATTTTGTTCTTACTCGCCATCATTTTCATCCCTGAATGTGTCCAATCTTTATCATGGACCCGTACTAGTACCAAAACATTGTTCTATGTCTTACTTATAACTCGGTACTTTTTTACTTTGACTGTAGAGGTAGAATGAATATTCAAATTAGTTGATGTAAAAAATCTTGTCTTACCTTTCACTCAATAATATCAATTTAAATTAATAAAAATAAAATATTAAATAAATTTTTAATTTTTTTTAAACTTATAAATTTAATTTTTATATTAAAAATTAAATTAAATTATTAAAATTTGACATAAGTTATCAATTGAAATAAATTTATAAGTAATTTTTTTTATATATCATTTTTTTTGTCTATCAACATATTTGGTAATATCAAGTTTAATTTCAACTCTATTTCTGTGAGAGTTATTTTTACCAATTTGTTTGAGATTATATATTTCTATCAAACAGGAAAGAATTATGTCTTATTTTTATTAGTTTATTTTACACATAATTTTATAATTAAGAGATATTATCTACTTTGAATATAAGTTCTCACAATTTTATTTAATTATCACCTAAAAACTTATCGACCAATAAAATATGTATAATTTTATACATTATTATTTCTTTTTATTTTTATTTTATCAATATAAAATCTTATTTGTATTGTAACAATTTCATCATTTACATCTTACAAAAGTACGTATTTTTAGCTTCTCTTAGAGTCTCCCTTAAGGTTTCTTATTCCAACTCTATATAAAATTTGACGCAAATATGTTTTGTAAGTCACATGGAGGTTGGTAGTGGTCTATTCAAATATTAATGTAATATATTAAAGTGAGCCAAAATGCATGTCCACATATCCTCACATTATTTTATCATAGTAGAAAATCAGGGAAGTCGGTAAGAATTAGGTCAAAGCATTTTTGTGGTTAAATACTAATTTCCCTGTTAGTTTCTCTAATTTGGATTCTACGTATTTTATTCTCTCATTTTTTTTCCTCAAGTTAATTATATACCTTTTTCTTAAAGTAAAAAAATTATAAAGATGATCATAATGAAGATGAAACTTAGATTCACATGTTTATAACTACTCCAATTTCTCTCCACTCACTCAATCATTAGACTAATCCTAGTAGTTAGTTATATACCTAATCTTCCGTGAATTTTTCTCTTATTTTTATCTAAAACATTCAAATTCTCATTTTTAATCCAAATATTTGAGGGTTTATGATGGAATTCAATTATAAAATAATTTTAAAACTATAAAAGTAAGAAATTTATTGAAAGTTTAATAAGCTTTTTTTTTTACACAAAAGTTTAATAAAGCTTAATAGATTACGTACGATGTGAGATTAAGATTTGAAAAATGAGGAAAATGTTATATTTTTGGATGAAATTTGATATTTTTGATTAGTGAACTTTAAATAAAAAGCAAACTAATCGATTTAATTTATATAAACCTTGAGTCAAAGATAAGAATTCATTTGAAGGTTTTATATAAAAGAAAGTTGAGAAATTACCCAAACTTATGAAATTTTTAAAATGGAGAGAATCAACTTAATTATAAAATAAAATAAGTTTCTCCTATAAACTAAAATTAACTTATGCATATGTTAAATTAATTTTTTTAAAATTACAAATGATTTTAACTTCTCTACTAAAATAATTTTACTTTATACATAAAGTAATTTTAATTTATAAAAAAAAACTTTTGTTTTCTATAAATATTTATAAAATATAACTTATCCAAAAAAAAACCTCAATTTAAAACGTTAAAATGAACATAGAGTGTGAGAATCTCCCTGCAAAGTGCGTTTACTTTTCTTTAACCTTAAGTTTTCTTCTATCAAAAGTAAAACGAAAAGCTGAAATTTTCTGAAGTTTATTTAAAACGTTTTATGGACATTGAATTGTCTTAAATTGGGTGAGATCACAAACAAACCGCGTCTACTTTTTTATTTATTTATTTTTATGTATAACTAAACGTTTACTTTAGAAAAAGGTAATCAAGTCTTGTACAACTCAATGATCTACAATGTTCATTTTATGAGCATCTTTTTTCTTCTTTTATTGTTATTAACCATAAACAGATATAAATCCTATGCTATGCTTCAAATTCAATGCATGATATAATCTCAGTGTTATCAAGTGTCTTTTGGTCCCACCTCAAAGGATTTCTAAATATATTAATGCTTTTATCCGAAACCAAATCTCATGATATATAATGTCAATTAACTAACTATGTTGATACCGTACATGATGAGATAAATAAAAGTTTAGATAATTTATAACAAATTTTATTGTTCGTAAATAAAAAAATAAAAAAAAACTACCGATGTGATATAACAGAATGAGTGAGTTATTGTAAATTTATTGGTATTGAATTTAATTTTTATAATTTTCTTTACCTTTTATAGGATGCTAACAAAATGCAGCCAAAAGAAAAGGTGGTGGGACATGATATTGTGGGGAAGTAGATAAGGGATGAAAAGTAGTACAATATTGAAAGTCTAATAATAATTAAGTCAAATTAATTTAAATTCATTAAATTCTTCTAGACTAAGCAAACCCAAGCCCAAAGAATACCTACTTTGAAATTGAAAAAGCTAGTTGCAAAAGCATCCAACTTTTCATTGAGAAAAAAAAAGAAAAAATGAAACCAACACCAACAAGAAGACAAAAATACCAAAGTACCATGCAACTGAGTTCTGCTCTGCATTCTGCAGGCTCAAAAGGGTTTTCTCTCACGTATTTCTTAGCTCGTGAATTTGCCAATTTGTTTATTATTTAATATTGTATTAGATTCAAAAAATAATAATCATGCACTTCTTTAATGTAGTCTAAAGGGTTTCCCATGGCAAATTCTAAATTAATTTGTTCTCATGACCGAATTAATAAGCAAAATCTAACTACCAGCAAGTCATTGGTCTTACTGAGTTAAACTCAAATCTTTTAAACAAAGTTTTAGGTTAGAGAACTCTAAATGAAAGTGTGTAGTTAAGAGAAGAAAGTCCATAAAAAACGAATCATTAAAAAATTCAATAAATATTTTAATTTGTTAAGTTTAGATATATTAGTTGATGAATAATTTCAATTTTAGTAGAGATTAATGATGGATAAAATGAACATAAATTAAGCATGGATGGACAAAATTGATGAATAAAGAATGGATGAAGAGAGAAGGAAAAAAGGAAAGATGAGATACCTCTCTTGGCCGGCAGTGTCCCATATCTGTGTCTTGATGAGCTTGTCTCTGACTTTGATGTTTCTGTAGGCAAATTCAACACCTATGGTGGGCTTGGAATCCAACCTGAACTCATCTTTTGCAAACCTTGATATCAGATTTGTCTTCCCAACACCTGAGTCTCCAACAAGAACAGCCTTGAACAGGTAATCACACTGCTCATCAAATGCATCAGCCACAGCCATCTACCTAGGTTGAAGAGGTGAGGTGAGAAAGAATTAGTAAGCAACCAACATTTTATATGGCAAGACTCATCATCATATATTTATACACGGTTACAAACCACTCTCCAATTATGTCCTATTAATAACTTACCATGCACTCAAGAAAGGGAATAACATAAAAGCGATTCTAATAATTAATACATCACCTACTTTAATTATATATATATATATATATATATAATTATAATGATCACAACAATAATAATATTCAAATTTAAGATCGAGTATACTATTTTAGGACAATTTTAATAATTTATATTTGAATTAGTCTAATAGAAAAGTAAATTATATTTTATTATCACTTAAATAAAATATAAGTATGTATGAATGAAATTTAACTTAAACTTGAACTTTTTGAAATTAAAACACATAAAAATATAAATAATTAATACCAAAATAATATTAATGTAAAATGATTATTTTCATTTTTTTATTCAAAAATTGTTAATATCCAGACAACATGCATATTGAATTTTTGTGTGAGAGAAAAATTGGTAGAAAGGAGAGATGTTCCAATACTATTGGGTAAATAGTTAATGACAATTTGAGGCTACTAGCTAGCACATGCTTATTATTGAGTGGGTTAATTAAATATAAATTCAAATCATAAGCAGTTTTATTCAATTATAACTATTTAACTAGTATTTAAGTCAAGAGATCATTTGAGAAAGAGTTATCCACCATTCAAGAAAAATGATATACAGGAGATTTGAAATTTTGACTCATACCCATAGGAAGTCAGGAGTTCATATTGTATCTTTAATCACTTGTGTCAATTCATGTTAGTACTATATCGGGTATTTTATTTTTTTCTTTCATATTATAGTTGTCATTGATTCAAAAGGTTTTCACATACAATGAAGATCAAACATAGGATACTAATTGCTAAATCTCGAAAAAAGTTAAACTTTTAACAATTAATAGACAAACATTCAATAAAGAAACAAAATTTCCAGATTTTATAAAACTAGAAAATTAAATTTATGAAATTAAAAATTGAATGATCAAAATAGCGAATTAACCAAAAGTACAACTTAGTATTTTTATGTAACACTTTTACTTTTTGTTTCTTAATGTATGTTCTTAAAATGCTCACAAAAACCTTATCAAAAATATATTTTTAATAATTTAAATTGACATACTTTCGAAGGCACGCCCTTAAGATAAAAATATATTAGAAAGTTCTTTTTATTAATTAATTTTAACATATTATTTAGTATTCACACCAAATAGGAGAAGTTAATATTTCAAAATATGATTAAAAGCGGAAATATCATAGAAGAACAATCTTCAGGAAAGGATGAGGAGATTTAAGTGTAATCGAGTCTCGAACCAATAATTAGCTCCTATAGTGGATCTAGAAAAATTAAGCTTGTGTTTGGTTTCACGTTTCAAATGTGAAACCAAATACGCACTAAAACTTGTGAAGATACATCAGAATAAAAGTATAGGTGCAAAATTTCATCAATGATTATAGATAGATAAAATAATGTTAATGTATCACCATTGACGTACCATGAAAAGCAATCCATAATATATTACGAATCTATTTTTTCTTTTCAGATTTAATACTAATCATACAAACAATATTAATAGGAAAAACAGAGTAATCAGATCATTTATGTATTCCGTTAATTTTAAATAGTGAATGACGCAAATTGATAATGAAGTAGATAATTAAATTAATTATTTTGAAGATAAAGTTTTATCCCAATCAATGTCTATCACCTAGCATGGTCTCCACTAGCATTAAAAAAAATCGAAGAACAAAAGGGAAACATTTAATTTTATAGTAGTATATAAATTGTTTTAAAAGTTACATGTGAAACCATTGATAAAGACATTATGAATGGTCCTATGATTTTTCTGACCCGTGGATGTCATAAACCTATTGAAAGGGCCAACCATGTGGTTGCCCAGCCCATTAGCAAAGAAGGGCCCATGCCATTGTGCTTGCGTGGCATTCACTCATTGGTTGCTCATTCATTTGTGCCTATCTTGGCCAACAGATTAATCGGTTCATGCTTGCTGGTTAATTATATCATATGGTGGTAGAATTTACAAGGGTAATGATTCCTAATATTATTTCCCCTTTGAAAAATATAGTTACTGTATATTTAATCATATCTATGTGACTATTTTTTTTAATTTATTTAAACTATTCAAAATAATTTTACTTGAGTCAAATAAAATAAAGTTTTCTCTCCAAATATTTTATGTAGTTATATAATAAGGATTCAAACTCAAAATTATAAAATATATATTAACTTTGTTAATAATTAATTTATACTAAAAAATATTATTTATCACTTTTATTGAAATTTCTTTTCTTAATCACCTACATTTATTTATTTACAAGACTTGAGCACTGCACGATATCTTATTTAAAGAATCCGAGAATAGACAGTAAACAATTTCCTAATCTAGAAATGGGGGGAAAAAAATTATATGTACAAAAAGTGTGTTTAATTTTCATGCAGTGTAAAAAGTTTCACAGTGAATTAATTAGAATCTGTTATTAATATAATTATTGTAAAATTAATAAATTTATCGTTTATAATTATTTACGATTATGATACGGTATAAAAATACAAGAAATTTTTTATTTTTTACTTTTATACAATGGAATATTTATTCAAACTTTAGAATTTTCCAATTGAAAACCGAAACGCACACAAAGTGGATAATTGGGCCAGCGGTTAAAGTATCAGTAGCAATGGGCCAATATGCTTCAACTTCGTTGGGCCTTGTAATCCATTTAGCCCATTTAATCTACCACGACACGCGTGCCAGTGGCATTAACTTTTATTATTATTAGGCAGATGATAAACACACCTCCACTCTCGTATAGAGACACCTCCTTTTTAAAAAAATATATATAAAATATCTAAATTACCCTTAAAAAAAATGAAACTCCTAGATTTACACCTCCTTCTCCATACCCCCTTCCCCGCACCCTCCTTCCCCGCACCCCCACACCCCCCTTCTTCCTTCTTGCTAAAGCCTCTTTCTGCTCACACGAAGTGGAAGAATATGTTTTGCGGGCATGACGAGTGTTGGAGGACCGAAAGGATCGCCGCCATCGATCCTCGGATGTATGTCGTGTCCAGAGTCATTGCCACCTGTACTGCCTCCTCCGAACATATCAAACTCTCGCTCATCCAGGCGCACTTCGGGGAGTTGTAGAATTCGGGGGCTTCTTTGAATTGGCGGCTAATATTATTATTCTTTGCTTTGGCCTCATTGGAGGACGATGTTGAAGCTGCAAGTATGAAGAGGGACAGAATGAGAAACAATATTGCTAAAGTAACAAGAAAAGATTTCACTAAAGTGGCTCTATGGGCGCGAGATCTGAGGCTGCACCATGCCGGGAGCGGGGCCACCGACGCCGCAGACGGGGCCGGCAAGGCTGGGCTGGGCTTGGACGAGGCATCCCAGGTCGAGGAGGACCATACACCGGAACACCACCTCCAGGTGGTGGTGGCATGCCGGGGCGAGGCAGTGGCGGAGCGGGCATCCCGGGACGAGGCGGCGCCGGAGAACCCCTTACTATCTTTAAAGTTATTTAATGACATTGAACGAGGCTTTAAGAAGAAGGAAGAAGGGGGGTGGGGAGAAGGAGGTGTAAATTTAGGAGTTTCATTTTTTTTTTAGGATAATTTAGACATTATATATATTTTTTTTAAAAAGGAGGTGTGTCTATACGAGAGTGGAGGTGTGTTTATCATCTGCCTTATTATTATTATTATTATTATTATTATTATTATTATTATTATTTTATTTTTAATAATTGAGTTGCATCAATTTGGTGACCAGCTGCTATAGTATTAATGTCTTATTCTCAAAATGATAGTAAACTGTTAGTTACATTCTTTAATTTTAGTGTTTAAAGAAAGCTTGTTAACATTCTCTCTACGTAAAAAATATGTAATATTCTACGTGTGTTATCATAAGTATCGTATTAGGAATTTTCTTTTGCACAAATAAAAAAAGAAGTAAATAAATAAAGAGATTGATAAAAAAAAAATATATAAATTAAAGACTGTAGCAATATTACGAAATTAATCTTATTTTTATAAATTTATTTTTCTTATTTCAATGGTTTATTTTATAGGAAATTAATCTACATTATTGGGAACTAAGCAACACAACAACATTAAGAATATAATTAAAAAAATAATTAATATAATTAAAAAATAATTAATATAATTAAAAAATAATTAATATAATTAAAAAATAATTAATATAATTAAAAAATAATTAATATAATTAAAAAATAATTAATATTATATCAAAAGTTAAAGTCTATTATCTGATAAAATTAATTTAATAAGTTAGTTCAAAACTGTAAGTTAACTAAAACTTTTAAACTGTATGTTAGTAACTGAAAAAGAATATATATATATATATATATAGTTAATCACCTACACACTGCTAGTGTAAAGTTTTTTGATACTGGCAATCAATTATATCTTTTAATTGTGTCATGTCAGTTGCTTATTTAATGAAATAATAATAAAATAAGTAACTTTAAAAGATATGATTGGTTGTCAGTGTAAAAAACTTTATACTGGCAGTGAATAGATGATTAACTCATATATATATATATATATATATAGAGAGAGAGAGTTAATCACCAATACACTGTCAGTGTAAAGTTTTTTTTGCACTGACAATCAATCATATCTTTTAATAGTGTTATGTCATTTACTTATTTAATCAAATAAAAATAATAAAAAAATAATTTAAAAGATATAATTGGTTCCTAATGTAAAAAACTTTACACTAACAATGTATAGATGATTAACTCATATATATATATATATATATATATATATATATATACATCACTAATCATTTATTTTTGCTCCATACGTTTACAGTTCCTATATATATTCTAGATTAAGTTAATAAAATTAATTGATACAAAACTTCAACACAATACCCCTGCCTAAAGAATCCAAGAATATATTGTGAAAATCTCCTAATTTAAAAGTGGGAACAAAAAATTGATACAAAAAGAAATGTAAGAGTGCTCATAGTTAGGTTATTTGAATAACCCAGCCATAAAATTTTAAAAACCATACATGAAAAATGCATATAATAACCAAACCATAACAAGTTTTCCATTGTCATTTTTTTTTTATAAAATCAGTTTTAATTTTTAAAAACTATTTATATAACTGGTTATAACCCATAACCTATTTCAAATTTTTAAAATTCATTTTTTTAATGTAGTAACTAAGAATATTATAATTGACTAGAATTGTTGAGATTGTAATCAAGGTCAAGACAAATATATTATATTGAAGGTAGAGTTGAAGATATTATAGTGAAGACTAAATTGAAGATGGTGTGATTGAAACTAAAATGAGGATACAATATATTAAGATTCCACACCAAACTTTCACCTTCTTCATAGTTGGAGGTTCAAATCTCATTGACATTATTTTCTCCTCTTTGTAGGAAACCCTTGCCAGATAAACTCCCTAGTGCCTAGGGTTATGTGAACAATTGTAATAGGTGGAACTACTTATAGGTTGAACCTATATGCCATAATCCTTTAGATGGGCCTCTTATCATTTTGAATATCAATGACCAAATTGAAAATGTTGTAAATAAGGATGAGATAAAAATTAATTTAACCAAAATTAAAGTGAAAATACTCGAATTAAAGTCGAGTCAAAAATAAAGGATTGAGGTAAATATATTTTGCAGGATTGAATAAAAGAGTAATTTTTTTTTATTTCTTTCCAATATATAAATTTTAAGTTTAAATTAATTTGATTTCATAATTAACCCAATAGAAAATATTTATAAGTCATCTTAAACATTGACGGATCCACATATAGGATAGTGGGGGCACTTGCCCCACTATCATTTGACACATATAATTTTTTTATTAAAAAATTAATATATTTTTAAAAATAAAAATTATATTTTAATAAAATAAATATATATTTAAATTATCATATGTATAAAATATAAATTTGAAAAAAATATTTATATATTTGATATTTGTCAAAAAAAATCAAAAAGTTTAATTATAATATATATATATATATATATTAAGACTCATATATATAATATAATATATTAAAAAAATAAATTTTTTTTTATAAAATAAAATTTATAGCATACATGTTTATCTTATGTATTTTTTATTTATTGTATACGTTAATTAAAAAAATTAAAATAAAAAATATTGGAAGATTTATGTTCTATTTAGAATTTTTAATATAAAATATATTTTAAAATAAGTTATCATCTAAAAATTTATATTAGATATTAAAAATATGTTTATATCATAAATAAATTAAACTTGATTTTTATAAAGTTTAACATATTTATTTTTATGCTTTTATTAGTGTTAAATTATTATAAAGTGGGTTTTTAGAATCACTACAAGAAAACGCTGAAATAGCTGCGAAAAATAAGTGTCGACTAATAGCGGACGCAAATACTGTTGGAAAGTCGACGCTATTTTAAGATGTAGCGCCGACTTTTGTGAAACTAAATTTAAATTAAGTTTAGTGTCGGAAAACTCGACGCTATTCAAAGTCGACGCTATTCTTTGGAATCACTTGGTTATCAAGTTCACTTAAGACTTCAAGGTTCACAGATCGAGTCCCGAGAATGTTAAAATTACTAACGAATGTTAAAATTACGAACGAATAAATGATAAACTAGAAAAAGAAGATAAAGAAAAAAATAAAATAAATTTTGTATCGACGTAGTGTCGGCTTAACCGATAATAAAAAATTAAAATAAATAAATTTGTTATCGACGGCTTAGCTGACACACAAAAAAAATTGTGTCGACTTATTTAGCATCAGCCAAAAATCGACGAATAACCGACAATATTACATCGATTTTTATGATTTAGAGTCAGCTTTTGGCCGACTCTAAACTACAACATTTTTGTAGTGAATTGTATTTCTAACCAAACATTTAAAAAAAATGTTTATGATAGATAAATAAGTTATATTTAGGATAAGAAATTTTAAAAAAAAATTAGGTTCAAACCTACTAAATTATAATATAATCTAGTTTGACCTAATTTATTTTCATCTTTAATTGTAATCGTAGATATAAAAGTTTGTAAAAATAATTATGATATATTTATATTTTAAAAAGTTATATGTAAAATTTTTAATATTACAAATATATAAATAAATATTGCCCCCACTATCTAAAGTTTCTGGATCCGTCACTGATCTTAAATCATTGTTTATTATTATTATTATTATTATTATTATTATTTTGGTTACATCTCCGTTTATCTTTTTATTCATATATTTTTTTAATTATAAATTTTCATTTTTTTAATTAAACTTCAATATTTTTAAAAGAAATTATTAACAATTAAAAATAACTTTGTATTATAATATATAAATAGTATATCAAAAATAAAAATATATATTGTAATTTATTAACTTCAAAAATATTCATTTATTAAAAAAATTTAATTATAATATAATTTGTATTTTAAAAAGTATTTATTATAAAAATTTTAATTACATAAAAGAATATATTACACGTTAATAGTTTAATAATAACTTAGCATGCTTTACAATCATGTGAGCTAGAATCCATTGGTAAAATATACTCCAACTCTTCTTTTCCAAAAATTTCTTTAGAAAAAAATGTATAATATTTAATTTAAAATATGGTAACGTCATAAAAAAAAATAGATATTAACTTTAAAATATATATAAAAAAAATAATAATAACATATGTTAAAAAATGAAGAAGCAATTTATCATATCACTTATTAATATTTATCTTTGATTTCTATTTTCTCCTTTACATTTCTCTCAGCTTTCTACCTCAATTCATCATTTCAAGTTTTCAACCCTATAAACCTTCAAGGCGTCAACGTTGATCACGACACATTGAAATCTAAGCGGAAAAAAAAAAATTCCACAATCAAGAGAAAACATGAAGAACACACGTTCACGAATGCGCAACATAATTCAAGAACCATACGAAAACTTTCATTTCCATCATGATTCGAACTCAATCTACGCCCAAAGTTCCAGCCAAAGCCAAGGAGAAATCGTACTCCGACGGAAGCGGCCACCGGAGACGCGCCGGAACCTCAACCGGCGGCGAAGACTAGTGGACGCAGCGATTCTTGGAGGCAGTCATCATCGTCTTGAACTCCTCGAAGTTCACGCATCCGTCGCCGTCGGCGTCCACGGACCGGATCATGTCGCGGCATTCGTCGACGGAGCACTTGAGGCCGAGGCGGTTGAGCGCGGAGTGGAGCTCCGCCGCGGAGATGAGGCCGTTCCGGTCGCGGTCGTAGAGATCGAAGGCGTCGCGGAACTCGCATGCGGTGGCGGCGGCGTCGTCGTCCGCAGAGTCGGAGCGGCAGAAAGCGGCGAACTCCGGGAGGCTGATGAAGCCGTCGCGGTCGGTGTCGAGGTCGTCCATGACTCGGCGGAGGTCCTCCGGCGGCACGCCGGATCCTAGCGAGCGGAGGACGGCGTCGAGCTCGTCGACGGAGATCTTGCCGTCGCCGTTGGCGTCGAAGCGGTTGAAGACTCTCTGGAGTTCGTTGATGTCTTGGAAGAACGGCGAGGATTCTGGATTCGGGTTAGGGTTTGGGTTCGGGTCGGATCCTGAAAGCGCGGGTGGGTTGTTTGCCATCGTTATTTATTGAAAGAGAAAAGTGGCGTTTGGATGAACGGGTTTTGGTATGGTTGGGGTTTTATTTATACCTGTTTGGATTGTGGTAGTTCTCGTGTTTGGAGTGGGTCCTGGTCCTTAATACAGATTCGCCAAATGGCACGTTGTGTCATGTGTCATGTGTCATGTGTGTGATTTGGGAAGAAGGTCAATGTTCATGTGCTTTGTCAAAATTGAAAAACAGAAAAAAAAATAAAAAATCCAATGCGTACATTTTAAAATAAATAATAAATAAATTAGGGGGTTGGTGAAGAATTTTTTATTATTATTTTATTTAATGAAGTGAATCGGTTTAATTTTAAAAAAAATGATCGGGTTTTTTTTTTTAAATGTTCATTCTACTGTATTTTGATGATCCATTTTACACTCGTATATACCACTTTACATATTGACTATGTTCAGTTTTTTTTTTTTTTTCAAAACAATTCATTTTTATGATATGATTCGGTTTTGTTTAGTTTTATTTTTCTTTAATTACACAATCCTTAAGTAATTAGGAAAAAAATTATCCTCTATACTTAGAGGCTAAAATTTCTCTCCATCCTATTCATTTCTTCTCTTTTCTAAACATAATCAAATAAAAAAAAATTATTTTTTTTCAACTTCTTTCTAACCAAATACTATCATACATGTAAAAAAGAGAAATAAGTAAAATTTTATAAAGACTAGATAATTCTTATATAAAATCAAAATATTAATAAAATTTTATCGTTATTCTTATAATTTAAAGTTACATTCAGAGTTGTTTTAATAATAAGAAATTAGTTTTATATATAAGATTTTAAGTTTGAATTTTGTTATTTTATAATTTTTTCTTATCATTGTAAAAATATATATTAATAACAATTTTATTCAATTTGAACAAAATTATTGGCTAATTATAATAATGATATGAACTCTTAAAAAAGAAAGAAAAAAAATGGGAGATGTGATATAAATCTTTATTATTTCTTGCAATAATGAGTGTCAGAAAATAAAGGGGTGCTTTCATGTGGCGACATGGGGTGTTAAAGATTTTTTTGTGTGAGGAGTCAAACTCAGAGGCATGCATATGCAAATGCATGCATGCGATGACATTTTTGTTGTCGTGTGTGACACGTATGTAACCCAAAAGAGGAGATTGCTGATAGAACAAGAATGGAACCCTATTCATCATTCTCATTCTCATGCCAAAAACCTTAATTCCTTGCTTCACCAATTGGAATTTAGTGTCCCCACTCAATGATTAATAAATCGCATGCATGTGTCTGCTATTGTTCATAACTACATGTGGTTCAGCTGCGATGCTTGAGGATCCATTACTTAGTAGTAGGGTTTCCCCTTGGAGAAATATATATATAGTTGTGCAATAAAGCTAGCTTACATAAATTAATTACAATAAAAATGTATATGTAATAGAAATGTGTTTGTTATTGATCAATTTTGCATATTCAACGTATGTACACGTGATTTGAGCATAAATTAAGTTTTATAGCTAATAGAAAAATGCTTTATGCAGACCAGATGTTATTTGGAGAAAGAAAGAGATAGAAAAGAGCAAAATTGTTTACTTTGTGATTTTAGTTTCTCTATATGTGAGACTATCATAAGTACTTTTTTATATCAGATATAAATTTAACTGATATCAAAATTTTTTTACATTAATTTAGTGTATAACTGATGTAAAAAGGTAAGTCATAAAAAATGAAAATAAAATTAAAAGAAAAAGTGTAAGGGACACAAGAGTTGGAGTGTTTAGAATTTAGAGATGAACATAGTAAGGGACGGTTGGGAGAGGAGATGGAACATTAAAGATCCATTTTGTATTTTTTTTAATTATGATATAAATATAAAGTATTTATTATTAAAAATAATAACTAATTTTTATTGAAAACTGTAACATAAGATTTAAACTCTAAATAGTTTTTAAGTGTCATTACAATTGTTGCCGATTAAAAGAAAGAAAAAAAAAAGCGTAACTTCAGTTTTCGAAGTGTTTAGGACACGTAAATGTCTCCAATTCCGGAAGTTCCTTGATTCGTTGTTTAATTGCAATAATCGTTTTCTGCCAAGATCGTAATTAATTCCAAGCATTAGATGCAATTAAAACCAACTATTAAGTCAAGAAAACGTAATTAATTACTTTAGCATATTTTCAAAGAAATTAACAAACTATTAGTTCAAATTCACAGGGGCGATATGAAAAACGTACCCACCAGCAGTCTAACAATTATTACCAAACCTATTTAGGCCCTCTTTACGTAATTTTCTCTAAAGATTTTTTTTTGGGTAATGATTTTTCCTTAACATTTATAAGCTAAAAAAGATATAAGCTAAAAATTAATTTATGTATAAATTACATTTTTTATTTATATATAAAAACAGTTCTATGTGTTCATGTATATAATTTGATGTCCACATTCTTTTAGACATTTTTACTCTTTTAACTAATTTACTCAACTATTTCTATAACGATTTGTCATAATTTCTACACTTAATGACATAACTACTAGTAGCAGATAATAACCAATCACTTAGAGTCATAGTTTATTGATATTTGAGGATATACTATGAATCATATATGTGAAAATAATCCAGTAAAAGTAAAATATACAACATAAGTTGTCGATGAAACAACTTCTACTATATAAACAATGACTACACAGGAGTAGCCTCAAAACATCAACTCCAGCACCACTAGTGGCCTCCACTACCTCTCTCCTTGAGCCTATCCTTGTTCTATTCTCATACCACGTATGATTATTGCAATCCAAACTACATGAAAATATGTAAAGGTAAGCTAGAGTTAAAAGAAAACATATATACAACACATATAATATGAATAACATATTAAAGACAACACCTGTATCACCACATCTTAAAATCATAATTCTACCTTCACATCTGGCCCTATCAACATACATCACTACAACACCACCATCTTTATCAACATGCACATCTTTACATCAACAACTTAGGTTTTCAACAAAACAACACAACATATACACAACATTTTCAACATGGTATATATACAACACAGAAAATTCAGCTCAATTTATGCAACATAGTAACTACGTGTGTCGTCACACACTTCAATTAAGAGACCTCCTAGTTTAAGTTGATGTTGAACAGTTTAAGTGGCTTGACCTTATTGAACTAACAACACAGGATGATCTTTTTGGCTTGCTAGATCAAAAACAAATTGAATATCAATCCACAATATACCAACTTGGTTTCTCGGATGTCACCACTTAAGCAAGGAAGTCTAGTGTCATTATCAGGGTAGGACAGTTGGGTATGAGTCCACCACGACATTAGCTAGCCTCCTATGGAATTAGCCCATCAACTACTCCCTAAATACTATGCCTTTTTGATATTCAGTTAGGACTCTCGGAATACCACAATACAATATTTACACAATAGAATATGACTTTAAAACAACATCTACTCTAGTCTTAGGTTGATCAACACAACTCAACAACACCATGTTTCAATGCTTAAAACATTCCTAACATTTATCATCTCAACAACACAATAACATATTGCAAATTCATCACATATGCACAACCAACACACAACTCACAACTCACAATATACATCGTACATCTTCAACACAGCTACACATTTATACTTCATACAATTCAACTCCACTTTCATCTAGCATCATATGCACCTAACCATCATTTACACAAATCAACATGTATGATACATGAGCAACAATTTTATCTTAACACATGAAATAGATCTATCTACTTTATTCATGTTCATCAATTAACACACAAAAAACTACCTTAATTCTCATTATACAACATATAGCTAATCAAATCCAAAATAAATAGTGAACCAACGCTTAAAGAGCCTTTGGGCTCACTCTAAGTGACAGAAACTTGCTCTAAATGCCCAAAATTTGCTTGGAGTGAGCCTAGATAGAGAACACCCTCGAGAGTCTAACCATCATTTACATAGATCAACATGTATGACATGAGCAAGAATTTTATCTCAACACATGAAATAGATCGTCTACTCTATTTGTGTTCATCAATTAACACACAACAAATTACCTTAATTTCTCATCATACAACATATAGCCAATCAACTCCAAAATATGTAATGAACTAGCGCTTGAAGTGCTCTTGGGCTCGCTTTGAGCAATAGAAACTCGCTCTAAATGCCCAGAATTTTCTTGGAGCAAGCCCAAATAGAGAACACCATCGGGAGTCTTAAATTTGGTAGCTTTAAGCTGGTCAATCCCTACTCTAAGAAAGCATAATTCGCTCAAAGCATTCAAGAATTTGCTTTAAGCAACAATGATGGAGACTACCCTTGTAACATCATGTCAACTTGCTCTGAGTGAGCAAGTCCTCACTCTGAGCCTCTACACCTCGCTCAAAGCAAGCCAAGTCAGAGAGCATACTTGACTTGATCGTACCTACTCTCTGTAAGCGACTACATCAACACTTTGAGAGAGCAAACCCAGAAAACATGCATAATTCTCCAAAATAAGAACAATCACCATGTCATTCAACTCCAAAACTTTGAATTCACACATGGAACTTAGAAATCAATCACATGCAACATCAAATTTCATATATATGCAACATTCTCAGCTCATTTCTAATTACCAAAAATAACACATGCAACCATCAAAGTATTAAGATTATCCACTTTTGCTCAACTTATGTAAGAGAACACCCAAAACCCTAATTTTAACATACAACCCACCCTGAAATCAATCCATACAACTACAAAATATCAAAGATTCTTACAACATTCAACTCATAATCCAATTAACAACTCAACAACTTCATTAAATAAGAATTTCAACTTTCATTAAATAAGAAGAAGAAGTTAGAACTCAAAGCTTCTCTCTCTAAGGTCTTATCTCTTTAAGATTTTTGGAGAACAAAACTTATGAGATCCTATTCTAAATAGAAACCTTATATACTTCATTCCTCAAGGTCCAATTAAACCTCTACTCAAAGAAACCTTTAATTAACATAAAACTCATGAGAAATTAGTTAACTCTAGAGTTTTTGAGCACTAAACAACTTATCAATCACAACAACATATAATTTGAAAACAACATCAATTCTAAAAGACTCACAATATTACAAATCCACTCTTTTAAAGTTAATTGAGCAAATTTTTTCCTTAATTTTTATAGCAAGGACACAGAGTGTCTTTTATTCACTAATCAGTATAAATCAAATACGATAACAAAGGATTACAACTACTATCCCTTG